CAGGCAGCAAAGACAGAAATGGTCGAATAAGAGGAAGGGTACAGGGTGGCAGTTGTTTTGATTGTGCTCCTGCTGACCTCTGACCTGGAGACACCCCTCTTCCCTGCCATTCTGCCCCTAGAGATGTCAGGCCAGGTTCTGAAAGGCCAGGCCCTGCCATTCCATTCTGGCCATCTGTTTTCTACACGGACAGGTGTCTGTCCTGTGCCTCAATCCACTTGGGCTTGCGCAGCTGGTGACCCACTGTCCTCCGCTCAAGTTCAATGCTGAATCAGATGCCCAGGCCTGCCAAGGCCATCAATGCAGTTAATGACTGTCCAGCAGGAAAGATCACTGTTCTCGGAGTCAGAGCTGGGCTCCGGGTCTCGCCTCTGGTCAGCACATGTTGGTCTTAGTCAAGCCACAAACCACATTTGTCTGCCAATTAGGAAGGTCAGGCATGGGACCTCAAAGGTACTGCAAACCCAGGCTCTGGCCAGTGCTTCTCACACTTTGGCGTGTCCCTGAGTTGGACATCCAGATTCCATGGGGTAAGTGGGGCTGAGATTCTGCCTCTTTAATTCCCAGCGGCCACGTGTTAGGAAGCCACACTGACGCGCTCTGGCCTCACTCGGATGGACCGGTTTGGAACACCGTGACTCCCAGGCCCAACCCCGGAGCCGGGAGCCTGGGCTTTGCTTCTTTGTAAAGCTCCCTGAGGGCCAGGGTTAGGGGCCACTGTTCTAGAGAAGCAGCTGGGAGGGGACAGGATATTCAGCGGAAAAAATGATCTCAGTCCAGTCCAGCCCCTCACTAGCTGCCTGGCATTAGAGCCTCCCAGGGCCTCGGTTTCCCTTGCAGCATGCGGGGCTGTCGGGGGGCCCAGCCAGCCTCCCCCACGCCGCTCTGCCCTCCCCTTCCCCTCGTCTCCCAGGGGACAGTGTGCAGATCTGCTCTGAGCGTGATTCAATAAGTGTCCATTAAAAACGCACAAGGTACAGGACGCTGCCCCTTAATGATGTGGGGACTGGAAGATGAATCAGGCTGAGTCTCCGCCTCGAGGAACTCACGTTAACCAGGCTGACGAGGACCGTGTCCAGAACGTGAGGCAAGAGGGGACACGGGCTAGAGAGGAGGTCGTCAAGACTGGCCAAGGCCGCTTTACACAGGCACTTTACAGTTTGTCTTCGTCCCCCCAACAGTTCCACCCGGCAGCTATGGTAACACTCGCTCTAAGGCAAAGAAATGGGTTTCAAGAGCCAGGTTTGGTGCCACCGGAGCCCCGAGGAGGACAGGGTCCTGCTGACAGAGAGACTAGGAGAAAGTCTGTGGGGAGAAAGGCGAAGGTCATGCCAATAGGTAGAGATAGAGAACAGGGTGCCCGAGGTAGGGGACCAGTGTACACAAACCCGGAGGAGGGCAAGTCCCACTTCTTTAAGGACCTGGCAGTAGTTCGATTTAGCCAGAGTGAAGGCTAGTGCAGGGCATGTGAGAATCAGATCCTGGTTAGAGGCTTCGTGTGCCAGCATAAGGAATTTAGATTTTATACCTTAAGAAATGGGTGCTGAGGGCCATTGCTAAGTAAGAATGACACATGGCAATTTATTTGTCAGCCTACCCAATGTTGCTTAGAGGAAGGACTCTCCATATTGACCCAGGTCATTTGCAGTGTCATTGCATGTAAGGTGACCTTGCTCAAGGACCTGGGCGGATCCAGGTTTAGGGCATTCCCGGTTTAGGACAATCCGGGTTTAGGGCGGTTCCAGGTTTAAGGTGTACCCTGCTGGGAATAGGGCGTATCCTGCTGCCTCAGGCGTGCCTGCTCGTTGAGTTCCCCGTTGAGTTCCCCGTTGAGTTCTCGTTGAGTTCTCGTGGGATTCAGAGAGTATTTGGGATTTTGCCCAGAACGTGATTGGGGCAGAGAACGTGGATTCCCCCAGAACGTCTTTGTAGAGTGCCGGTGTGAGTTCGGGAATAAAGAATTGCTGTTTGAATCTACAAAGCTGTGAGTGGCTCGTGATTTTGTGCCCAGCCAGACTGCGGCAAATGGGGAGCCATTGAAAGTTCTTGAGCAGGGGATGGCATTTTTAGGAAAAGGTTTAAGTGGTCCTGTTTTCTGTGGGAGAAGGGGTTGACAGAGAGTCCAATGAGGCAGGTAGCTACAGCAAATTGGTCCTGACAGTGGAGAGGATGGGGACATGGGCACGCGTGTGAGGTGCGCTGATGCCACAAGAAGGTTCCCTGGGCACTGGTCCCTTCTGTGCATCTGCTTATTAACTGCACTGGGTGGCTGGAGGGAGAGCGCAGCAGTCAGAGGTAGAAGTGGAGGGCTCTCCCAGGGTCTCTCAGTGCCACGTGCAGCTCCCCTCACCATGGGGACATGGCCAGTGGAGTGTGTGCTCGGAGGAGGACTCAGCTGAAGCGGTAATGGGTTCTTGGGCCAGTTCACAGCTGGCCACCTGCCACAGACCCATGATGGGAGCTGGCCCAGTGGCCTGAGTCCTCTTGACCCCAGCTTCCCAGGTGAAGCGAGCCTCCCGGCGCCAAGTTCACAGCCAGTCAAGGCTCAGAGGCTGTGTGCGTCAAGCTCAGCACAAACCCTCCGGGGCTAGAACCAGTTCCTAGAAGACCAAGTCTGGACATGGAAGAGCCCCAGGCCAGGACCCGGCCTCTTGCCAACCTGTGACCTTGGACACATCCCCGCAGCCCCTCTGAGATGTAGACTGGGTACCGAACAGTCGAGGAGCACAGTGGTGGGCCCTCTGAACACCCAGCCGCCCCACCTCCACTCTCCCCATCTTCCTGGTCAGCCTCCCCGGAGCAGCTGGAGAAGGTACCAGGACCGGAGGACAAGCAACTTTCTAGGCTCAAAGTCAAGGTCATTTTGGCAGTTTTGTCACTCTGTGGACACAGCAGTATCTTGTTCCTCTTATACTTGACCCAGTCAAGGCCCAGAGACTTCCTGGGACTGGCCCAGGATCCGAGGTGTGGGTGCTCACAGCTGCGGGAGCTGGCGCTCCCAGGTCTCACTGCTGTCATGAGGCGGGGAGCCAGGTCCCCAGGTGGGGAGCCAGGCGCTGAGGTGGGGCTAACATGGGCAGACACCCCAGGCTCAGGGTTTGGAGTGAGGAACGCAGAGAACATTCTCTTTGAAGCCTCCTGAACACATGAAGGGGAAAATCTCCCTGGTGCGAATGGTCGGAACGTTTCCCATCTCCCTTTTGACTAAGGGCACGTCTCAAACCTTGGCAGGACACAGATTCCAGCCAGAATCCAATAATTGTGCTTTGTTTCCATCGAGCTTATTCCACTGGTACCGACTATTTATGGTAAGCCATACTGGTTTCCCATTTAAGGCAGTGATATTAACGTGTCTCTGAAAAATATGTTGGGGGTGGGGGAGAGTGGATCTGGGATTTAAAGAAAATATTAAGTAATAAGTGGTGTCTAGATATGGCACAGTCAGATCCCCTGACGTCTGACCCGTGCAAACCCTTCGCTGTGAAGAGAGGGCTGGGGTAGCTCAGTGGTCGGGTGCCTGCCTATTAATCACGAGGCTTGGATTCGATCCCCAACACGGGGGTGGGGGAGGGGTGGGGGATATGGCGACAGAGGCGCTGCCCAGGGGCTCAACGGAGCCCCGGGCAGGGCTCTGGGTGCAGCGCTCTCAGACCCGCACAGGCGCAGACTTCCCACTCTGTCGCGCTAGGTCAAGGTGACTCCTGGGCGCCCCCACCCCGCCCCCGAGATTGCACGTGCGCGGCCCATGTGCCAGTCCACGGGGTGCAGCTGGCATTGCGACCTCAAGAAAGAGGCAACGGCTCGGGGCGGGCAGATTGGGCATTTGGAAGGGTCTTGGGGGTTCCGTGGCGGGGGGGAGCTCCCAGGAGCCCCCTAAGCGCGGTCCGCTGTGGACCCAGCCGGTCACCTGCGGCCGGGGCAGGCGAGCGGGCGAGTGCGTGCGCAGACGTCAGCCTCCGAGGCTCGTGCCGCGCCGCTTTCCGGTCACGGTGCGCGCGCCAGAACCTCGGCCGTCCCCGCGGCCCCGGCCCCACGCGCCTGGGCACGCGGAACCAGCAGACTGCGGCGCCCGGGCGGGCGCGGGCGGGCCGGGGGCGGAGCCGGGCCGCGCGACCTCTGCCCATTGGCCGGAGCGGCGGGGGCGGGGCTCGGGGGCGGGGCTGGCAGAGGAGGGAGGCGCGGGCGCCGGCGGCTGGACCCGTCGCTCGCGGGCTGCTGGGCAGGTGGGCGCCGCGCGGCCGGACCACTGGCGACGCTCGCCCGGCGGGAGAGGGCGCGGGTGCCGCCATCGGGAGCTTGGGCTCCGACCACTCTGGGGAGGGACCCGCAGCTTCGCTCTGAGGGGGAAAGGGGGGCGTTCTCCAGCCGGAGAGGGGCGGAGGGAGGAGCCGAGCCCGCAGAAAGTTCTCCTCCTCTGGGGGAAAAGGAGGCGAGCAGGGAGGCGGCGCCGGCTCCGGCTAACTTGGAGCGCGGAACCTTGGGGCGGCGTTCAAGGCCTCCTCCCACACGCTCGCGGAGCCGAGCGCCCTGCTCCTCCTCCGGCGGCTGGCGTCTCCTGGCAAGGAGCAGGGAGCCGGGGCTCCAGCCGGGCAGAGCTGCAGAGCTGCGGGCTGAGAAGGAGGCCGCGGCCGAGCCGGCAGCGCCTGTGTCCCCACCCGGGAGACCCCCTTTGGGCAGGAGAAGGTAGCGTAGGCGACCAAGGCGGGCTAGCCAGCCTGGGACGCGCACCCACGCACACACCCACAGTCACCCAGAAGGATCCGAGTCTCCGGGGGGCCACTCCTTAAGACCGGAGTCGTCCCTCCATCCCTCCCCCAACCCCGGAGCCCCAGGCCGGGACCCCGGATCCGACGTCCCCAAGCCTCCGGTCACCTGGCTCAGCAGGAGGCCCCCGGGTCAGGGCACGGCAGGGCCGGCGACGGCGAGCCGGAGCCCGCCCAGTGCCCGGACCCCGCTGAGCCCTCGGAGCCCACCCATGGGGCCCCGGCTCCGCTCGCCTCCTCGGCCGGCCGCGCCCAGCCCGGCGCCCCGAGCCGCGCAGAGGAGGATCCCTGCGCAGTGACCCGGGAGCCGCCGCGGACGCTGGGAGGCTCGGCGGCTGGAGCGGCAGGCGGTTCTCCGCACCTCCAGGCGCTTCCAGGCAGCCCCCCGAGCCGATCCAGAGGCCCGGCGGCCCGGCCTTCCCAGGTAGGAGACAAACACCCCAGCAGAGCTGAGGTGCCGGGTGAAGTGGGGCACCTGAGAAGATCTGGCAAGGGCTCAGAGAAGCCGTCAAGGCCAGGGAAACTTGACATGGCTTTTGCACCTACTGTGTGCCCTCTCCATCTGGCAACTTTGCCTGTCTAGAGAGAGAATTAAACATGGGAGCACCTCGTCTGTGTCAACCCGGGCGCTAGACTTTTGACTTATCTCAGGAAAGAGATTTATTGAGCTTCTACTATGTGTTGGGTTTAGTGCTAGGGGCCTTCCGTGTAAGAGATGGAGAATCATAGGCCGTTAAAGGGGGGAAGCTTGCTCAGGGAGAGGAGCGCTGCCTTCCCAAACACTCCTGCTGCGAGCTGCAGCCTCTGTATACCTAGATGGAGGGGGGGTGCTGGGGTAAAAGGGTGGGTGGCTTCCCCTGACCTGGCAAGGACCTCCCGCGAGGAAGGAAGGTCCTGGGCCCCTTGCTCATACAGTCCCCTGAGCTGCTAAGAGTGAGCTGGGGAAGGGCTTCCTGTACTTGCTGGCTCCAGGACCCCTCCCAGAGCTCTAGGGACTTGTCGCCTCCCTCTTTGCCTCCAGCCCTGGGAGGAGGATGGAGGATGTTGTCCAGGACCTCTGAAAGATGGGAGGTCAGGCTGGGGAGGGACAGCCAGCTCAGGGGCTCTTGATTCGGGCCTCCCCTAGCATCAGAAGGACAAGATGGGGTCGGTCCCTGCTAGTCCTCTGCCGGCACCCCCAGTTCCACCAGACCTAGCTGCTCCAGGTAGCCCCATGTTTCCAAGAGAAAACGTCTCAAAGAAAGGAACCTCGTGTTTGTTAAGACTGCTGCGTCCAGGGTCAGCAGCAGCCTCTTGACCTCCCACTGGACCCTGCTCCATGCTAGGTGTGTCTGCACCATCCTATTTAACAGTGCAACCCGGGCAGCAGGTGTGGGCAGCGAGAGGCGGGGCTGGTCTGCTGGGAGCTCCCGCCTGTGTGCTCTCTGCGTCCAGAGCTGCCCAGGACAGGGAGATTGGCTTTGCAAAGTCCGCAGGACCCTGCGGGTAGGGCACGGAGGCCAGTGACTGACGTGTGTCCAGAGGCTGGGGTGCACACTAATGGAGGGACCGGAGCAGTGGTGGGCAGGATGGGACAAGCCCCCCGGGGACCACACGGGGGAGGGGCACACCCAGACTCATCCTGCTGTCATTGCCTGTCAGACCTGTCTTCCAGGCAGGCCCTGGGGAACAGGCAAGGCAGAAGGGAAACCCAAGATGCCCCTCTGGGAGCTGACTTGCAGAGTTTGCAGGAGAGTCCTGGGTAGTGACTGCCCCCAGCTGCCTGGAGGGACCGAGGGAATAAGGATAAAATGTGCCTGGGGTCTGTTGCGCCTGTTGCCAGCTGACGCTTCACTGAGTCAGACTCCGCTTAGCAAAAGACTCCGCTATTGGCCGAGGGGTGCGTTTTCACAGTGCCGAGCGCCCAGGCTTTGGAGCCTAAAAGCCTGCTCTTAGCCCAGCCCAGCCAGTCATCTGCTGTGTGACCCAGGGCAAGTGACTCAACCTCTCTGAGCATCGGTGTCCCCATCAGTCAAGTGGCCCATGGGGAACCCTCCTCTTGGACTGTTGTGAAGTCATGGGAATAAGGCACATGCCTGGTGCGAGAGGTGCCTGCTGGTCAGCTGCACCCCATCTCTGCTCCTGTTCCAGGGACATTCTGCCTCCCAGCTGCCCTCAGAATGGCCCTGTGGGGACTCAGCAGTCAGTGCCCACATCCAGGTGTTCTGTTCAGTCTCTGGGCCTCCAAGGTTGGATACCAGACTCTCAAAAGGCCCCCAAACTCTGAGCCCTGCCTGCTCCTCCCTGTGGGGTCTGCCTGGCTGAGGGCAGAGGCTGCCGGCCACAGGTCCCCGCAGCGCTCCCCCCGCCTGGGGAGGGAGGCGGAGGGAGGCTGTGGGGGCGGGGGGAGGCCTGTCACCTGGCCTCCAGGTGCCTGGAGCATCACCGCCCCACGTGGCTGGGGCCATGTGAAGGCGCTGGCTTCCCAGGGGAGAAAGCCTCTGGTTACCTTCCCCCTGCCTGCCGCTCTGGCCGGGCTCCCCTTCCCACTTCCGCCTCCTTCTCCGGCCCCTGCTGCCTCCCCTCACGCTCCAGTTCATTCAGTCCTTGGTGTCACCCCCGCTGTCCCCGCTGTCCCCGCTGGAGCTGTCCCGGCTGGGGCTCTGGGCTGAGGCTGGGCCAAGGCAGTGATGGACAGGACCTGTCCCTGGGGCTGCTGGCCCCTTCCTCTCTTCTGCCCAGACCGAGGTGACCAGCAGAGTGGGCTCCCTGCAGGGCACTTGGCGGGGGGGGGCTGTCCTGAGGTGGGGCCTCCCCTTCTGCTTGAAGGAGCTCAGCCAGCTCCACGGGAGCCGGAGCCGGTCCTGCCGCCTGCCCCAGCTCCTCGGCGTCCAGCCAGGCTGGGGGCGAGGGCGAGGGCGAGGTCCCTGGAGCGGGGCTTGGGGGAGACCACAGGGGCCCTTCCTTATGGGCTGGGGTTAGTCATGGCCGTAGGCACGGGTGTGAGGGAGAGGCCGCTGGGAGGTCCGGGCTTGGCCTCTCCACCCAGGCCCTCATTAACCCACGGGGCGCATCCCATAGTCTTGTGATCACGGGGCCCTTATCTGTAAAGTGCAGGAGAGAGGCAGGTGCCTGGGGTCCAGTCCCCCTCTGCCGGTCACTGGCTGAACAAGTGTGATCAAGTGACTTAACCTCTCTGTGCCTCTGTTTTCTCGCCACTGACCTTCTGGTGTTACTGGAAGGATGAGCTGGTGACTATATGTGCAGCCCTCAGGACACTGACAATGCTAAAGGCAAAATCAATGTCAGCTGTCATCACGGCTCTATACTTAGCACCGTCCTTGGCACAGCCTGGGCTTGGCTGGTGGACCATCATTGTGGCTGAGGCCTGGGGCCTGGGGCCGGGGGCCAAGCTCGCCTATTGCGTGCATCTCTGCGGTTCATCTGTTGAGGTCACGCTGGCAGCTGGGAGTTGGCCGTGACAGGAGTGTGCACCCCTGGAGATGACAAACGCCACCAGCCAGGGCTCTAAAATAAATAAATAAATAAATAACAGAGTTCATGAGGGTGTCTTGAGGACGGTCGCTGCTCAGGGGCTCTCGGGCCGGGCTGCGAGGTGTGGGCACGTGCCAGTGACTCACTCCCAGGAGGTCTCACCATTGCCAGGGGCAGGTGGCCTTTCATAGACAGGAAATGATGGCGATTACCTTGGGGTTAATGGGTGAGGCCCTGGGGCTGCTGACCAGGCACCCAGGGGCACCGGGCACCCAGGGGCGCTGGCCACAGCTGAGCACACAGAGCCCTGTGTTGAGGTGAGACAGCGCCTTCCTTGCACAGGGAGCTGCACAGCTGCCCTTTCTCTGGCATGTGGCCCTCACTGGCCACCCAGCCGGGAGCCTCAGGTGGCACCCCGCCTTGCAGAGGCCAGGGTGTTGCTGCCCCAGTAGGTCAGTGCTCTGGGCAGTTCTGGGATTGGAGAGCTCCCTAGACGGGAGGGAGTCCTGTGGGACCGGAGGCATTTGAAGGAGACCCTGCAGGGAGAGGGGGAGGGTAACTGGGGGAGGAACTAGTGTGAACAGAGGGTGGGGTCCCGGGGTCCTGGGGGAATTCTGGTGGTGCTGTCAGAGGAAGACATGGCCAAGGGAGGTAGGCTGGGCTGGGTGGTCCTCAGGGGCTGGCTGCTTGCTTGTCTCCACTTGGGGTTCAGAGTTTGGATCTGTTTTAGCTTTTCCCATGAGGCCAAGAGGCTCCGGTGGCCCCGGGAGGTGTGGGGGAAGGTCCAGTTGTCCCGGGGCTGGGAGGTGAGAATCTGGGCAGGAAGCAGAGAGGAGGCTGGTGGCCCGGGTGGGGAGGCTGGAAGTGAGGGTGGGAGAGGAGACTGGGGCACTGGGGTGGGGGCCACCTTGGGCACACCAAGCTCAGGCCCGAGGGGAGTCCTCCCCTCCCCGTGGCCTTTCCCTCCTTCTGGGCCACAGCACCCTTAGATGCATGTGAGGACCCTCTGGATCAAGCCCAGGACCAGGGGCTCTGGAGAGGCTGGGGACAGAAGGCCTGGTTCCAACTGTGCTTAGCTTCTCTGAGGACCAGTCCTGTGCGGAACCCTCCGCGGACCGCCGCTGGCGGGGAGGCGGGGCTTCACATCCGTGCTGCCCTCAGACAGGGGCTGCGTGGACAGAGGGTGACCGAGTGGGCGAGCGGCTGGACAGGGGTAAAGAAAGGCCAGGGCGCAGACGCGGGTGGCGCGGGTGCAATTTTGCAGACAGAAAACTGAGACCCAGGCGGGGGCGCGGGTGGGGGAGGCCTGGGCCCACGACCAGGGGGGCAGGGCTGGGCTGGGCCCCGGCCTCCTGACGCCTGCCCCTCGCTTTGCCGCAGCCCCGAGCCATGATGAAGACCTTGTCCAGCGGGAACTGCACGCTGAGCGTGCCCGCCAAGAACTCCTACCGCATGGTGGTGCTGGGCGCCTCCAGGGTGGGCAAGAGCTCCATCGTCTCCCGCTTCCTCAATGGCCGCTTCGAGGACCAGTACACCCCCACCATCGAGGACTTCCACCGCAAGGTCTACAACATCCGCGGCGACATGTACCAGCTGGACATCCTGGATACCTCTGGCAACCACCCCTTCCCCGCCATGCGGAGGCTGTCCATCCTCACAGGTGAGACCGCGGGTGGTGCGGCGGGTGGCAGCGCCATGCCGGGAGCTGACTGGACTGGGGATCTTCCTGCCCAGGGGACAGAGCTGTGTCAAGCTGCCACCTCCCCGCTCAGGGAGTAGACCCGGCAGAGCCTTGGGGACCACATCTGGGCTCAGGTTCCTGACCTTTCAGGCCTTTGCCACTTCCCCAGGGGTCAGGGCAGGACCCAGGCAGCGGTCAGGCAAAAGGAAGGGACCCTGTAGTAACAACCAGGTGGTGAGGGCAGCAGCCCCACGCATGGGAGCCGTGGGCAGGGCGTGGTCCTCGCAGCTAAATTCCAGACAAGCGCTTGCCTCCGCTCACAGGGAAACAAGGCTGAGAGGTTAAGTGACTTGTTCCAGGTGGCTGGCTGGGCTGGCTGGCTCTCCTTTACCACCGGGGCGGAGGTGCAGGGGGAGCTCCTGCAGATGTCCCCTTGGCCAGCACATCAAGCAGCTGAGAGGGCAGGTCCAGAGGCAGCCTGGGGCCCAGTCCTGGTTCCACTGCTTCCTGGTTTGGGCCTGTGGGGCAAGTGACTTTATCTCTCTGTGCCTCTGTTTTCTCTTCTGGAAACTGGGATCACGTGCACACCTGGCTCAAAGGTCCCGTGAGAATTAAATGAGTTAATACGTGTAAAGTGCTTGGTGAGCAGACATTAAGTGCTCAATAAATGCTGGGCTTTAAAATTGATGTTCCTAGTGTGCCCAATACGGTTACACTGTCATGTCCCACCGTGTCCCTCCCTTTGCTGGGCAGAGGGGAGGGTGTGATCAAGGGACTCCAGGTAGCACTGAAATAGCATTACAACTGAGAGCCTGCTGCTCGGGGAGCCATGTCCTGCCCACCTCTTTCCACACCTGACCAGGGCGGAGGCTCATAGGTGACCCAAGGTGAGTGCCCCGGGCATGTGGCTTCCTCCTCCAGGCCTCCTTGCTGATCCTCTGACCTAGGTTGCTCCCAGACCCCCACCTCACCCATATTCTAGAGAGGGAGCACGTAGACGGGGGCCCTGGGTGGCCCTGGGTTCAGATCCTGGCTCGGCCTTTGGTTGGCAGTTAGATGTGTGGCCTTCTGGCGTCTCAGCCTCCCTGCAGGCATGACCTCAGTCCCCTGTGTGACCGTGAGCATAGAAAGAAAGCACAGGGGCCTCCTTCAGCCCAGCGGGTGTCACTGGCGTCTGCTTTTCCAGTCTTGGGGAGGGCTCTGGGGACGGGTATCACAGGGAGGTGCGGGGAGACACAGGGAAGGACCGAGTGTGTTTTCAGTTAGTTTCCAGTTACACAGACGCACCTCCATCCCACGCTACAGAGAGGACGGGGCCCGGGACCGAGTCCCCATCAGGGCCGCTGCGTCCCCCCGTGGCTGCCCCCTCAGTCTAGGGTGACTCCTCAGGCCCTCCATGAGCACATTGGCATTCAGATGCGTGTCCCTGCGGCCTCCAGCGCCCTGGTCTGTCTGTGCTGCGCGGGCGGGCGTGCGCGGGCGCTCTGAGCACATCTGCTGCGGTGCTTTGTTCCCTCTCCAGCCCGTGCCTCGTTTTCCGACCTGGGGCTGGTGTGCAGGGAATTCTGGAAGCCATTAATCCCGCTGCCGGCTCTCTCTCCAGCTGCTGGCTCTCTCTCCAGCTGCCGCCCTGTCGGGCTTTTGGTGCTTGGCGTCCGTGTCGCGTTTAAAAATGTCAGGCTGCCGCGTCCTCGGGGGCTGAGATGAGCCTGATGGGACGGGCTGGCTGCCAGGGCAGAAGCGGTGGGTAGGCTGGGGCTGCCTTGCTGGTGCCCTTCAAAACATTGAGGTCCTTCACAGGCCCCACCTGGGCCCAGCCAGCCTTGTGGCCAGCACTGAGTGCAGGCCCCACCTGGGATGGAGTCCCGTGCCCCTGATCCCCCTGTTCAGAGCACACTGCAGCCAGACGCTGTTCTGAACATGACATGCTCAATTATAGGGGACCAGTGGGCCCTGGGCCCAGAGGGAGAAGGTGGTGGTTCCGCCAGAAGCTGGGCTTGTCCATCTCCTCCCGAGGATGAGTCCCAGGGCCACCTCCTCTGAGCCTGTTCCCTCGCCTGTGAGACAGGGACTCTGAGTCTAAGCGAAAGTGAGAAGAAGCCTGGAGAATGAGATGGTGACCGTCATAGGAACTGTGACCTGGGCAGGAGCGTGGAGGTGCTGGCCACACACTTGCCGCCCCCTCCCGCTTCCAGTCACTGTTCAGAGTCACTGTTTTAAGTGATGCCGAGAGTTGTAATAGAGGAAACAAGGGCCTTGGAGGTAATGTTCACCTGCTCATTTCATGGTTTATTCAAGAAGAGAGAGCACCTACTGTGTGCCAGGCGTGGGCCAGACGAGGACAGAATCGGGTTGCAATCCTGGCTTGGCATTTAAGCTGTGTGACCTTGGACAGGTTGCTTGCCCTTTCTGAGCTTGGTTTGCTCACCTGTAACAGGAAAGTAATGAAATCTCCCTCACGGAGGTGCTGTGAGAAGTTAGGGAGCAGCCAACAGGGAGCTCGAAGAGCTGCCTGTCCTTGTCATCACTGACATTCGAGAAGGCTGAGTGCGTGCCACCTGCATTCATTATCTCCAGGAACTCTCAAGATAACCCAGTAGGTTGTCCAGGTAGGAAACTGAGCTGGAGAGTCGCAGGCCACCCCAGGCCAGGTGTAAGCAGAGGAGGAGCATGCGCACCTGGGGCCCTTGGTGCCAGCATCTGGACCTTAACTATGGCCACGGGTGTTTGCTGAGCTCCTGCTGCGTGTCCCGGGGACATGCACTGAGCAGGACAGGCAGGACTCGACTCTCCTGAAATCTGAGAGCATCCTTGAAATTGCTAACACTCTACAGTCCCCTCAAGCGCTCAGGTCCCCTGCCTCCAGCCCTGCAGTCACGTTCAGATGGGGAGAGTAACAGCCGCTACCCCAGAGCCGCGGGGGTTCCCTCACTCTGCGGGGGAGCGGCTGGGAGGGCGCGCGCGCTCACGCCTCGCTCTCTCCCGCAGGCGACGTCTTCATCCTGGTCTTCAGCCTGGACAACCGGGAGTCCTTCGACGAGGTCAAGCGCCTCCAAAAGCAGATCCTGGAGGTCAAGTCCTGCCTGAAGAATAAGACCAAGGAGGCGGCCGAGCTGCCCATGGTCATCTGCGGCAACAAGAACGACCACGGCGAGCTGTGCCGCCAGGTGCCCGCCACCGAGGCGGAGCTGCTGGTGTCGGGCGACGAGAACTGTGCCTACTTCGAGGTGTCGGCCAAGAAGAACACCAACGTGGACGAGATGTTCTACGTGCTCTTCAGCATGGCCAAGCTGCCCCACGAGATGAGCCCCGCGCTGCACCGCAAGATCTCGGTGCAGCACGGCGACGCCTTCCACCCCCGGCCCTTCTGCATGCGCCGCGTCAAGGACACGGGCGCCTACGGCATGGTGTCGCCCTTCGCCCGCCGCCCCAGCGTCAACAGTGACCTCAAGTACATCAAGGCCAAGGTCCTTCGGGAGGGCCAGGCCCGGGAGAGGGACAAGTGCACCATCCAGTGAGAGGGAGGGACCCAGGGGAGGGGCTCGGGCAGTGCCTTAAGGGAGGTGGCCCCAGACGCCCGCTGCGGTGTCCCCAAGAGCTCAGCAGCATCGTGTTCAAAGACCTTTGGCACCAGCCCGAGGCCCAGGCGCTGGGCCCTGAGCATTCTGCCCTCGCCACGTCCCTCTTGTCCTCTTGTCCGTGGCTTCCCCGGACTTCGGCTGCTCCGTGGGAAGACCAACGTATCCCTGGGGACAGGGGCCAACCAGGAGCTGTCAGGACCGATGCGGGCCCTGAGTTGGAGCCTTCCGGTCGCTGGGTTGGAAGACAAGCTGATGCTAGAGGTCGGGAGCCTCCGAGGACAAGTTGCGGACTGAGAGTCCAACAGCTGGACAGGAGCGGCTTCCGGCAGGGGGACCCTGGCGGCCATGTCCACCCACCTGCTGCTGCCGGATGTCGAGCCAGTGTGTGTGTGGGGGAGGGGGAGGGGCGGCGCGCCCACCAGGCCACGCCCTCCCAGACCAGGCCCACCAGCCCTCCCAGGCCACGCCCACGTGAGCCACGCCCTCGGGGCTGCGGTCTGACCCCCGCGGCTTCCTTTGCAGCTCGTGCTGTGTTAGTGGTAGACAGGGAAGCCTCGCACCCGTCCTTGCCTAGGGCCCCAACTTCAGATTCCCTGCCTCCTCTGGGGACACCTTCCTCTCATGCTCCCCGACAGGGTCCCGTGGTCTGTCTGCACGTAACCATTGGCCTGTAAGGGAGCGGAGCGCGCTGTTCCCAGACACTTGCAGGCCTCTGGGCAGGCAGGCGGCCACTGAGACAGGAGGGGAGGGTGACGTGGCCCAGGCCCGCCCTGCCTCCTAGCTAGATCAGGGCAGAGCTCTGTCGCAGGGAGCGGGCTGTCCTCTACTCTGTTCATTCCTGGAGCATTTACTGAGCACCTACTGAGTGCTAGGAAACAGAGAGGGTGAGGGGCTCACATCCCCAGCTCTGGCCTCTGTCCACCTCGATGCCTCAAAAGGAGGGGCAGCTGAGGTCAGAGCAGAGCCTGGGAGGGGGCAGGAGAAACGCTCCTGCGGGCCTCTCCTGGTGCCCAGGCCACAGGTCTGAACTGGGAGCCCCAAGGCACTAACCACTGAGCCGCACCTCCAGCCCTTTTTATTTTTTTATTTAAGAGAAAGGGTCTCACTAAGTTGCTTAGGGCCTTGCTAAGTTGCTGAGGCTGGCTTTGAAATTGAGATCCTCCTGCCTCAGCCTCCTGAGTCACTGGGATTATGGGCGGGCACCACCAGGCCCAGCTGTCAACAGATACAGTTTACGTTCTAATCTCCTGAAAAATATTGAAGTTTAAGGTCACAGGAAACCACAATAGTCACTGAGTGAGTTTTCGGAGGCCCAGGAAGGTAAGCCCCATCCGTGCCCAGGTCACCCAGTCAAAGTGGCAGAAGCAGGACTAGCTCTGGCCCTTTCGCCCCCTCGCTCGATGCTTCTTCAGGGATCTGGGGCGTCTGACCCCTGTTGCCCCGGGAGGTCCCTGTGGGCAGTGTGGACATGTGCCCACAGGTGAATGCAGACGCCCCCGGCCCCGGCTCCGCACACCTGGCCCCCGCCTGCGTCTTGTCCCCGCCCGCCATCAGTGCAGCAGCTCTACCCCCGCTCTGTCTCCTGGCTGTCCACCCTCCCAGTCAGAACCCTCGGAGCAGACCAGCCACCTGTCCACAGGCGTGTGGGGCCTGGTCTCACCCTGTCACCCTCACTGTCCCGGACCTCTTCGTTCACTATCAATTAAAGTGGATTTGTTACGAAGCTGTGTCCTTGCATTTCCTGTGCTTAAAGAAGAGGTGGTCTGTCCCCGACCAACGCCAGCCCCTCCTCCCCGGATCACCTACTGGTGCCTCACCCAGCGTGTGGTGCCGAGTGGTCTTCAAGTTTAAACTGGGGAGGGGACAGTAAAACCCACCTGTGCATGGGATGTGCGTGTGTGTGTGTGTGTGTGTGCATGGAATGGTCATGTCCCCCTGGGGTGGCCAGTGAGGCCCACAGCTACTGGGAGGCTGAGGAAGGAGGATCCCTTAACAACATAGAAAGAGCACGTTTCCAAAAAGAAAGGAAACGTGAGATGGAGATGTCCTCCCGCGCACAGGGCCCCCCAACACAGTTCCTCAGCCTCACCTCAATCATGGCCACCCCTGGAGGTCGGCTCGTGCGCTCCAGGACGGGAACTTCCCAAACAGCACTCAATAGACTTGGGACAAACAGAGTGAGCCTCTGTGACATGAGACAGGAAAGTGGAGGCCGAGAGAAGGTCCTGGTCCAAAATGCTACCAAATGTGCCTCTTGGCCCCGAGGGGTCCTCCTTGGGGGGGGTGGGGGGGTGGAGACGGCCACTGGGTGCTGGCTGGGTGACCTGCCGTGTCTGGCTTCCCAAGCCACCTCTGCCATCCAGCTCCTCGAGACACCCACTCCTCACAGCGCTGCATTGGCAGTGAGGATCGAGGTTCAGAGACCTCAATATCTTGCCCAAAGTGGCCCAGCTGAAGGGGCCGTTGGAGGTGCAGGACCAGAAGCTGTCTCACCTCAGAGTGGGGAGGAAAGGATTTTGCATCGGGAACGAGACCGCTCTGCTGTGATGGGCAGACGCCACCGAGCATGACCAGGCGCGAGCCCTGAACACACTCCCGTCCCTGGCCACGCGCCTCACCACCCAGTGGAGGGGTCACGACCCTCAGGACACACAGAACAAGAGGGGTCAGGCTGAGGACGAGGCGGGCCAGGCAAGCCACGGAGCTGGGGGAGGGACAGCCGCTGCTCCTGGATCCCGGCTCCCTCCGATCCTGAGCCCACGGCAGCCACGGAAGGTCTGGGTGGGAGGCAAGTCCTTTGGATGCGCTCTAGGTCCTGCCTGTTGTAACCGTGAACTGTGGCCGTGGCCCCCTCCCCCGTCCCAGCTGAGACACAGGAAGGGCTGGTGCCCCGCAGGCCCTCCGGGTGCCCTGTCGGAGGCCCCGCTGCCTCCCTGCCTCCGTGCAGATAAGTCGCGTCCTCTCCCGGCCTCTGGTTCTTTGTCTGTGAAAGGGACGTGGGCAGGGGGCGCGGGCAGGGGGCGTGGGCAGGCGGCGTGGGCAGGGGGCGGCTGGCCCAGACGCACAGGGATGGCCTCCCGCGGCCCAGACCTTCTGCAAGAAGGAGCTGGTCATCCCGCTGCACCACCCGGCATCATGGTCTCACAACAACCCTGCCCCACAGCTCTGGCCCTGGACTGGGCTGAGGACAAGGAGAAAGAGTTCCCTGGCCAGGTCTTCCCGGCCCTGGGGGGGGTGGACTCAGATGTCAGGAGAGTTCCCCTCCCGGTGAGACCTTTCCAGGATAAGCCCAGTCCCAGCCTGGGAAGGCAACATCGCCCGGGAATGTGAACTCCAAGTGCTTGTTGTGTTCCGCCTCCCTGAACCTGTCACTCACTCCAGAGAAAAACTGGAGTCTGCGTCACAGCTTGGTGGGGGGTGCCTGCCAGCCTCTCGGCCTCAACGGCTGCCAGGAATGGGGGAAAGAAGGGAGCTGACCTTGGCTGAAGACCCACTATGCACCAAACACTGTGCTGGGCCTGTGACGTTGGATTCTCTTGGCAAAGCTACATGGAAGGATTATAAATCCTTTTTAGATACGAGGGGGCAGAGGCTCAGATAGGTAGAGTCACTTGTCCAAGGTTGCACAGCAAATAAGCAGGAGAAAGCTGGGCTAGAATCCATGTCTGATTCCTAAGCAGGTTTGGTCTCCAGCGCTTTCATAACCGAGCCTGCTGGGGGGCTGCTCTCGGGAGGGAGAGGCTGGCGTGGGCACTCTGCTCCACCTGGTCATTCAGCACCCAGGATTCTTCCACCTTCGGGCTCCTCTGTCTCCAGGATGTTGTCACCTTGGCATAGGTATCGGGAGAGAGGGAGGGGACGCACACCTCCCATTGTCTCATCCCTTCTGCACACGTCCCCAGGACCCAGGTGAGTGGCGTGCCAACCTGACCAAAGGGCTGAGAAACGTGGTCCCCTGCTAGGCGGCCCCAAGACCAGGGGTGACTTCGCTGTGGCCAGTCCTGGCTGGCTAGCTGCTGCCTCCACCCTGCCCTGAGGCAGCGGGCCCAGCGTCAGGACACCAGGACACCGTGTCCACCGTGTCCCTTCTGACCTCACCCAGGCTGCGGGCAGCAGACGCAACTGGAGAGCAGCTCCCGTCTCCCGGGCTCCCTGAAATGGCTCAGGGGCTCCTGTTGCCTCATCCCTAAGTGAAGCATGGACCCCCCACATCTCTCATCCCTCACGGTGACAGGGACCCCCCAGGCGCTCCCAGTGGCAAATACCAGCTCAACCAAACATCCTGGGCCCACGTGACCCCGCATTTCGGTCTTCATGGGGGGGGCTTCCTCTGTGGCTGGTGGCTACTGCACCACCCGGGGGGGAGGGGGCTCCTGGGTCCCTCTAGCAGCTTCCGGTTTCCCTCCCCCCAATTCTTGGGGGTGCTCTGGGGCGCAGGGGAAGAGGCCAGCAGAGCGGGGAAGTTCTTCCTGCCCGGTGGCCGTGCCCTGCGGGGAGGGCAAGGCAGACGCCTGAAGATGGCGTGGACCTGGATCGAGGGTGACTCCGCAGCTCCTCAGAGGCCACTGCCGCCCTGGGGGTCTCTTGGCTGTGGGGGCCTGTGTGGCTCTTTGTGGGGGCTGCTCAGCCCTTCTGTCCCTCTCGATGCCCTCGGACTCTATGACCCTCCTGATGTCCTCATGGCCAGGGCCTAGGGCATCACCGTGCCAGCCTCTGTCCAGTGGTCCCACGTCTGGGCAAAGCGAGATTCACGCTCCTGCCCACTCGACTCCGGGGGCTAAGTCACTGTGGGCTCCGTTGGAACTTGAGCTCCCACCCAGCCTGCCTGTCCCCCATTAGACACGTGGCCCCAGAGCCCCTTACTGCAGGGACACAAGCCAAGCCCTCAAGCCGGAGCCACAGGATGACATTCTCCGCACGCTATGCTGCCCTCCACGCACTGTACCTTGCCCGCCTGTGTCTCTGACAAAGGGGGGCTGCAGGCGTGGGGGGCCATGCTCCTGGTGTGGCACCTGGCTTTGGAATCAGCCTCGTTAAAGTCTCAGCCAAAATGAAGGGGCCAGGGTCTGGGTCATCTGCCAGATCAAAGGGGCCTGGAAGATGGCACTCATGGAGGTCCCCAGCCTCCCCTTGGAAATAGAATGTGTGAATATTGAACCAACCCAGGTGCCCAGGAATATGCCCTTACGAGAGAGAGAATGCATTTTAACTGCTAATAATATGGATCCTGATCATAGGCTGCCTGGGTCCAAATCTCAGTTACTTTGTAACAGTCAGCAATGGCTGCAGAGATG